TCATTTTGCCTCAGATTGAACACTGAGCTTATTTTACCTTTCCACAAATGGGGAAAGACCCCCCCCCATGGTCCCATACCCCCCCCCACCCCCCGTGAAACACGTAATACTTGTGCCTCTTGGGGGACTGGGGCGTGAGCAACTCCCCCCCCGCCCCCCCCCCGGTGCCCTTCCGAGACAGGCGTGTTCGGCCAGTCCAAGCGGTTGAGGCGGCCGGCTCCCCTTCAGAGGCTGCTGCCCCGGGGGGGACCAAGCCCTCAAGGGAGACGGGCCCTGGCGGGCCAAGAGGCCGGACCCCCCCTGCTCTTCAGCCGGGGCAGCCGGTGGCAGGATCAAATCAGTGCCTTTGGCTACTCCGCTCCAAAACGACGATTATGTGCTTTTCGGCGTTGAAGACTTTTAAATCTGAAACGAAAGTAGAGCCTGCTAGGATGGGTGAACTGAACCTTTTGTTGGTTTCTTTACGTTCAGTTATACTTGGTTTTCCCTTTGGTGCTACGAATCAGAAAATTAGGAATTCAGTTCTGGCAGCTCAAGACTCCCGATTTGCCTCTGAGTACCTCGGATTTGTCCTCAAGAATATCCTGGATTAAGTTACCTTTTTGTAGCCATCCCTCCTTTGTCCGTGAGGTTATTTCTGGCAGCTGCCTTTCAGAGGAATAAAACCTGTTACCTGACTTTGCTATTATTTAGCATTACTAGTATGCTACACACTTTGTATATTTCTCAAGTCCCCGCGGGGAAGGGTACACAGCAATATGAGGATTGGGTGTGGCTGATGCAGCGGCGTTGATTACTACTAATTCCTTTGGATTATTTTGGTTCCAATTTCCAAATCAGTGCTTTTCCTTCTAGAGGCTTCAATAACCGTTGATGGGGAAAATTGCTAGTAATGTTAGTTTCCTCTTACAATATAATGAATTTACGCGTGGCTTTTAGAACGTTTGTTTCATGAAAAGCAATTCTTGCACAGAACTTTCCTACCGGAAAAAGAAAAAAAAAGACATATGGGAGAATGGAAAAGAGACTTTGTGAAAAACACCGTTGACCTTCTGCCATTCTGATGTTTTTAAAAACATGTTTAACGAACTCTTCCATGCTGAGTATCAGTGGCTTTGTAGAACTTTTATATTTTCAATAAAGGTTATTCAATATTCTGAGCTGAAAAGTGCCGGCGGTCCCTTGTTTCCGCTTAGTCGCGGCTGCTGTGGCTGGTGCGTGAAGGCCCCGGGGGCCCCGGTGGCAACGTTAACGCATCACACCCGAGAGCGGACCCTGCCTTCCATGCTGCACGCCGGGGGGGGGGTTGGGAAGGGTGGGGGGGCGAGCTCCTTGCGCCTGCCTTCAGAACGGTCTGCTGGATCCTTTGAGCAAATCAATCTGTCTTTTAAAAAAGACCCAAGAAATTGGATGCCAAGGCCCAGGCCAAAGCCTGCCATATCGGAGGCCCAGCGCTGGACCTTTGCTGGAGCTGTGGTGCGGTGGGAGGCATGGCGGGATGGTTGCCACGATCAGGGACGCCCCTCCACTGACCTCGGGACGACCAGAGCAGCCGGGCCATCGGTGAGCCCAGGGAGGCTCCTGAGAGGAGCTGGCCGCTTCCCTGAAGGATCTGCTGGAGGGTGGGGTCCCACTGCGGCCTGCCCGGAGTGGGTGGCTGGGCCCAGGGGTCCCATTGCTCCTCTCCCTCTGGGCTGATCCTAAGGTGGCCCTTGGCTGAGGGAGGCTTCCAGGGGGAGACGGAGCCCCCCTTGGCCCCAGTAGGGAGGGCCGGAGGGAGGGAGTCTGACCCCCCCCCTTTGAGCCGTGGCCTGGGGGCCGTAAGGGCAGCGAAACCTCTTCCTGCATGGCCTCTGCTGACCGTTGTCCAGTGGCCCCGGTCAGAGTGGCTCCGTCTCTACGGGGGAGGGGAGGCCACCCAGGAGTCTGTTGGGCGCCTGGTGGATAAAGTCACAAGGAACGATTTTGGTCGCCCTGGTCCAAATCTTCTTGGAGGCATCAACCAGGGGAAGGGATTCCCCTCCAGAAGGTGTTGGGGTTCTGTCCCTGGAGGCTTTTGAGCAGGCGGCCCTTTGTCTGGAAGGGGTATAGGGGCTCCTGCCTGAGCGGGGGGTTGGACTAGAGGACCTCTGGGGTCCCTTGCAGCTCTGTTCGGATTGCTTGCTTGGCTCCAGCCTAGAGTCCAACCGGTGACCAGTTGGACACGGTCTGGAGGCGGCTCCTGGGTCAGCTCAGCCACCTGGTCCTCGGGTCGAGGCCTCCAGTACGGCTGCTCAATCCGTTTCTCTTAAGGGGTTTAATCAAACGATAAACAACAACTAAGGTAACTTTTTTTTAAGAAACGAAATGGGGAGAAGAAAACGGGAAAAGCCAGAGGGGGATGCACGTCGCGTCTAAAATCACCCCAACAATTCGGAGCAATGTGTACATTCATAGTGCAGGAGGTGCCTTTCGAGAACCGTTTGATCCCCGGTGCCCAGAATAGCATTTCCTCACAAGTTGCCTTTGGGAGGTGGGAATAAAATCTTCACAGCCACACTTGTTAAAGTAAGGCCGTGTGAAACGGTCCCTTAAATAAAGCTGAACTTCGTTGGAAATAATAGAGAAATTAAAATTTGGAAAGGGCATTAAAATTTGGAAAGCAAATAAGCTACCTTTAAGATTTAAGGGTAAACCATAACATTAGGAGACTTCTGGTTATCTCCTTTGCTTTTCCCTCACTGATAATGATCACGATTATCGCTATTCTGTCGCTTTGCAGGTCCCCTGAGAGCTCCTGCTCCAGACACAAACTTTGATCTCCTAACGCTAATCAATCGTGGGAGCCACTAGAGGAGAGCGCCTGTTTGCCTTTCCTCCGAGTAAGTGCGTGCTTAGTTGGTGCCCTTTCTACTTCAGCCTGGCCATTCGGGAAGGATACCTTATGACCTGGTCTTATCGTGAGGGTGCGAGGAGGAGGAGGAGGGAAAAAGGGGCAGGAAGGAAGGCACCAGGGAGCTGAGAAGGAGCGAAGGAGTGAAGGTTGCGGTTGGGTGGAGTTGATGAGTTTCCCCGAAAGGAAGGGGAGACGTTTAGGGCGCCAAAGCAAAGATCTGGGATCCTGGATGGAGACGTGGAAGAAAGGCTAGAAAAAAATTAGAAACTCACGCTGACCAAACGGTGTAAGATTTCCTTTTTTCTCCCCTAAGTTCTTTTGCTCACTAATTCTTGCCGCCCTGCCCCCCCATCCTTTTTGGGGGGGCCCTTT